TGTGTGGGGTGGGGGCGCCTCGGGCTGTGCCGCGGGCCCGCCGGGGCAGGAGGGCGAGAGGCCGCGGGCGAGCCTGCGACCCGCTTTCCCTCCTTTGGAGGCGAGTTACGGGCCCCTGGCCCAATGTAGGGTCCTGGGGGCTTTGGGAGGCTTGCCCCTCGAGGAGGGGGGCACAGGGATGTGGCTCCCCGGGAGATCCTTCCCCCGTGCCCGCTCCCTCTGCCGTGTGTGTGGGCCCTCGAGGTGGGTGGGCTGCAGGCTGCTGCGCGGCAGGGGCTGGGAGAGGCCTAGGCCGGAGGTGGCCCTTGGGGCTGGAGCAAGGCCTCTGCATCTTCCCCCCCCTCCCCCCACCAGCAAGGGGAGAGCGGAGGCACCTGAGCACTCGGCCGGGTCATTTACCGGATGGGATGTGGCCCTGGTTTCGAGGGAGTTAAAACAGCTGAGAAGTGATTAAAAATGAAACTGAACTTTGTTCGACTGGGAGGTTGAAAAACCACTGGTAACGTGTGCAAAGGAGATAATCTAGTTACAGATTAGCCCCAGTTCCTCCTTGTGCCCTGCTTTGCTCAGCATGACTATATGCAAATAATTCCAGGTGTGCAAGGATTAGTTAGCTCAGGAGTTTAAACTCCTCACATCCCTGGTTTGGGTGGAACGGGCTTTCTGGGGAGAAGTTCTCCCAGACCTTGGGTTACAGCTGTTTTAATGTATTTCACCCACTTCTAATGACCCCTAGAATAGCTATAGAAACTTGAACCCTTGGCTTAGATGAGCTTGGTCCTTGCCCCAGAGTGTCCTAGGAACGGACTGGAATGAGAATTGACAATTTTCACCTGGTTACATCTAACTCAGAAACAAGCATGCTGTAGGTGACCCTGCTCTGGCAGGAGGGTTGGACTAGATGATCTCCAGAGGTCCCTTCCAACCCTAACAATTCTGTGAATTCTGTGAAGCTGTTGGGCTAGTGGGGCCGAGCTCCTAGCCTCAGGGCTCATGCTGGGACTGCTTTCAGCATACCACACTGCATCTGATCCCAGATCAGGATGGTGCCTGGCGCAGAAGTGTCTGCATCTCTTCCTGAAACGGTGTGTGGTGAAACGCCTGCCTTCGTGCAGGAGTATGTTCCACGTTTTTGATTTTATTTTTTTTTAATGCAAAGGGCTTTGGTTTCTCCCTCATGTCCTGTGCTGACGTGAAAGACTGTGGGTTCAGTTACCCTGGCCAAATTCACAGCCGTGGTCATTAAACGAGCCACACTTGGGAGGACTGTTCAGACCAATGTGAGCTGGCATTGGTATTTGAGACTTCTGTAGGGACGGTTACCTTCGTGTGTGCAGAAAAGGAACTGGCTTCAGGAAGGCTTCCTGTTAGTTTGAGCAACAACAAGCAACGCCTTTCAGTTTCGTAAAGGGTTGTCTTGTTTGCTTATTCATGAGGTGCCACTACAGGTCAAACTGGGGAATTCTGTTGTTCCAGTCACTGAAACCATGTTAATAAAACAACGTGTCTGACTGTCCTTCGTTTTGGCTTGAGGGATGGGGCTCACACCGGGCTGCAGACCCGACTTCTGGGCTTGGTTCTGACGTGGTGGGACTTTAAAGCCCTTGTGAGATAAGGGAGTGTGACGTGCACAGAGTCAGCAGCTGTGCCCGAGGTGGGGAGGAAGGAACTAGAAATGGGTTACAGGCTCTTTCTTCATCTGGCCCAGGTGAGTGTGAGCAGCCAAGCCCTCTGTAGAAGCAGGCAGGTGCTTGCTCTCTATCACTGATGCTTGCTAGTGACTCTTACAGTTTTTGGACTGAAAGCACGGGGGCTGCATATTCTTAGTGGTGGCCTTGCAGCGTATTTGGTGTTGTGTGTGTGCCTACCTCTAAACGAGCATGTCTTGCAGGGATGCTGCGGAAGCTGCAAATCCAGAAAGAGGAAGATCTGCAGTCGGTGCACGAAGTGGCTTCCCACGTGTTCAGTGATGGAGTAACAAATTGGGGTCGAGTGGTGACGCTCATCTCATTTGGTGCCTTTGTTGCAAAACACCTGAAAAGCATAAACCAGGAGAAGTGCATTGCCTCGTTGGCAGGGATCATCACAGATGCGCTTGTCTCATCTAAGCGCGAGTGGCTGATGAGCCAGGGAGGCTGGGTGAGTCACTGTCCCGAACACTGTGAGCTCTCAGAATAATCCAGTATTTTCCTATTTCTCTAACCTGCTCACTTGCATCCACATGTGTCAGCGAAGCGCAGAGATGACTCACTGCTCCAGTTAAAACCACACTTTCTTTAAAACCACACCTAGCTGGCGTTGTGGTATTTTGAGAGCTCCTTACAGTGAGGTGCCTGAAGCAGTCTTGACCTAAAAATATGCCGCCGCCCAGTGCGGAGGGGGCAGCATTCCCAAAGCTGAGTCAAGTCTGGGGGCACTGACCTTCCTTGAAGCTGGTCCACAGCTGATTGCTGCTTTTGCAGGGTGGGCTGTGGCTATAGTGAGTCTGGGGCAGTGCACTCAGTGGGTGCGCTGGGCAGGCTGTACCCCAGCCCACTCTGCCAGGAAAAAAGGCTTTCCATGCCTTCCTGCCAAAGAAGGGTGGCCGGTGGGGAAATAACTTTCTGTTCTTTCTCTTAGGAGGGCTTTGTCGACTTCTTTCGAGTCGAGGACCTGGAAGGCAGCATCAGAAATGTACTGATGGCGTTTGCAGGTGTGGCTGGACTGGGAGCAAGCTTGGCGTACATGATCCGGTGAGCCAGGGCATGCTGCAGAGGGACAAAACTCGGTGGACTGGCTCTGTTTGGAGCTGGCGAGCTGATCACTTCCTCCTGTGTGTACTTATGAAGCTGAACTTGAGTGACCCAAGGAGAATATCTCGGCATCCCCCTGAGCAATCCTTTCCTAAGAAGGAAGGTGTGATCTGGTCAGATTGTGGCTACTGATGAGGATTTATTGCTTTGGGAAGAGAAGGTGGAAGAATTGATATTCTGCTTCCTTCAAGAGGAAAGCTCAAGTGGACTGCTTCAGTTTTATCCCGGAGGGAACCGATCTGCTTATCAGGAAACCCGTGAGCACCAGCGGCTCTTGTCTGGACTGAAACCTCCTGGGCTTGGCACGGCAGCTGTGTGTGGAGCAGATGTTTCAGGGTTGTGGGGTTCTGGAAATGTGTGTTGTGCTGCTGATGTCCTGCCTGAATTTGTGGCTTTTCTGTTGGAGCAGAAGCGTTGAATGCTGGTGTTGTGTGAGCCTGCGCCTGCCCCCAGGTGTGTGGGCAAGCAGGCCTTTGGCCACTGCCAGCCCTGCATGCCTCCCACCCTCTGGAAGCAGTAGAGCTGTGCCAACAGCCAAGATGTGTGCCCTGCTGCCAGAATGTGGATGCTGGAGCCCCCATGGCCCCTTGCCCCCCAGCAGGGCTTCAGCCCGATCACTGAGCGGGCAGAGGAGAGGTGGGGGCTCGGAGCGGTGACCACAGCCAGCTGCGGTGCGGCTGCATTGGCCTGTCTGGCTGAGCTCAGCTACACTGATGCGACTCACCACACACAGGCAGTTTAAAAGTAGGGAGTGCGTCTGTAAGTATGTAAAACCCCACATGGGGTGGGGAGGCTGTAGAGAACCTGTAAATATCTATAAATCTGTAGAATATGTACATTTTTACAGAGCTAATGACACAAAAAGGAATTTTGAATGTGGTAGAACTGCTTATGGGTGCACTGTACTTCATTCCTCATGTGAAGTAGCATTTTTGTGGCGAAGCCTTCTCCTGCCTTGACTCCAAGCAAGCCTTTCTCTGATGTACTTGAGCAACATTGCCAGGGAGTATAGCGAGGATCAGTGGCCTGGTGGACTCTCATTGTGCCCATGGCTTGCTGGCAACAGTTGATGTTTCTGTTTATTTTAATCTTTTTGGTTATTCTAGCCCTTGTAGTGGGTGGGGAACTGTGGAAGTTGGTATTGATCGCTTCCTTGTCTTCCCTTTCTTTTGATCCTCTAAGCCGCGAGTTGAACGAAGCTGGTGTTTGAATGTAAATGTTCTGGAGCAGAATAAAACTCATCGGCTCGGATCTGCAGCTTGTGCAAGTCCGTCGGTGCTGGCCCTGGGCTTGGTCCCTGGTCTCCAGCTGGTGGTGTTTCTTCTTTGTGGGCTTGCAGTGCTCATCTGCCTTGCACCTTCCGACTGTGGACTGGTTGGTTCTCGGGGACCTCCGCTCTGGGACCAGGTCCTGCGCATCCGCAAACATCCTCATTCATGGTGCTTGACCTGCAGCCTGAGTGATGCCCAATGGAAACCCAAGCGGAGAGCTGAAAGATGGTGCTATTGTCAGGCCTGCTTGTTTGCTGAACAAGCACTTAGTTTTGTCAATAAACATCTTTTGTTTTCAATCCTCTGGTATGAAACTTGCTGTTTCCTGCAGTGAGATACTGACTTGCTAAATGCTCTTGCTCTGCTTTGCTGGTGTAGGCATGCTTGCATGAATGCTGCCTGTGGGGCACCCTGCAGCCTCTTGCTTATGAGAAAGCTTCTGCAGGCTGTGGAAAACTGCTCTGGGTGTCTTGTGTCACCCGTTGGGGCTCCCCAGAGCTGCTGAGTGCTGAGATGCTCTTCTCCTTCACTGTGTACGTGGGCGGGGAAAGTCCATGAGGCGCCTTGTGCTCAGTGCCTGCACGCTCCAAAACAGCTCTTCTTGCAGCACTCGAGGTGTGCTGCAGGTCTGGGTGTCTGTGCTTGGTGGCTGGGGCTTATCCCCCCTGGGTCAGCGAGGCAGGGACCCACAGCCCTGAGGAGAGGGGACCTGCCAGGGGGTGAGCTGTGCTTCTCTTCCAAGTGGGGAGACGTACTGCGGGGCTTCGGTCGTCTAGCCTTCGTCTTGGCCTTCCTGCCTGGGCAGAGCAAGCTGGCATTGCAGTTGCCAGGGAGGCCTCTGTAGGGCAACCCTGCTCCCCCAGACCGCTCCCTGCCCTGCGCTCTCCGAGTTTCGATCCCTGCAGGCTGGGGATGGAGGAAGCGCAGCCTGCCCAGAGCCAGCGGGCGCAGCCCAGCTACGTGCAGACCTCGCTTGGACAGTGCTTTGAACACCTTCCTCCTGCCAGGACCAGCTTCGCTGTGGGAGCTGTGGCTGGAAAATCCCCCTCCTGAGGGGCAAAGCACTTCCCTAACCCAAAAACTGCTGGTGGCTCCAGTTTTGTGGGCCTTAACTGCAGATGGGGCGAGGCGACAGCTTCCTGCAGTGCTGGCGGGGCCCTCGCTACCAAAAACAAACTGGCGGCTCAGCCCTGCTATGCAGATATTGCAAAATGGTTTTTTTTGGTGTGGTGGTGTTTTGTGTGTGTGGGTTTGGTTTTTTTTTTTTTGGTGTTTTGTTTTTTTTTTTTAAATGCTGTCTCTTTGCAAGCTATTTTGGGCCTGTTCGGTCCCCCAGGGCGCGGCGGGGGCCCTCATGCAAAGCTGGGCCTTTGCCATGGAAATATGCAAAGGTGTTGGGGGGGGATCGAGGGGGGAGTTGGGGCTGCTGGCGCTTCCTGGAAGCCGCAGCCTGATAACGCCTGGCTTGCCGCCGGAAAAACCGGGGCTTTCCCCTCCGCGGGGGGGGAGGAATGGAGGGGGAATTAAAGCAGCCGCTGTGTCTCATGGTGTGTGGGGCGGGGAGGCTCCAGGTTAAGGGTGTCTTCAGCAACCTGCCTGCCTTTTTGGGGTCCCCCTTCGCCTGGGACAGAGGGTGGGTGGGCATTGCTCTCCTGGGTTGGGCTTTGGGTGCTGCAGCGCCCTTCCCTCCCCCTGCCTCTGCACCCAGCGGGGCTGAGCCAGGATCTGGCCCCGCTGCCTCCGGCCTTCGAAAGCCAGCATTGACGTCGCTCGTGTGTGTGTGTGTGGGAGGCACATGCAAATGCAGAAAATCCCCTGGCTGGGCAAAACCCACTGATTTCTGCTCATTTCTGACTCGGCGGCCCCACTCCTGCATTGGGGTCTCTGATAATATTTCATGTTATTTCTTGTGACAGGAGCCTGGTCTGCCATTTCCTCAAATGTACCTTTCCTCTCTGGGGGGGTTCCAGGAAGTTGGGGGCACTGCTCCCCTATCTTGCTGGCACAGTTCTTCCCCCAGTAACCTGCCCGGGTGGGGGATGCTGCAGTGCAGCCCCCTCCCAGAGCTGGTGTCTTGCAGGGAGGCCAGTGTGGGGCTGGGTCCGTGGTGAGCCCCTGGGAGCAGAGTTGGGGCACCAGACAGGGACAGGACCCCCCCACTACCGGGGACAGGTCCTTGAAATGGAGAGGCTCTGGGGGAAGAGGGGCTTCCTGGAGCAGCAGTGCTCCCCCCTTCCCCCCCAGACACTGCCCCAGGGTTATCAGGGTGGCCACGGGTGGGTGCTGGGATTGTCCCAGCGGGGGGAGGCCACCGTGTGTGGGGGTGGGTGACTCATTTGGGCTGAGATGACGGTTTGTGGGGGCTGTCACTGCACTCCTGTAATGAACCTGTCAGGCCTTAGCCCCCTGCCTCCCCCAGCACCCCGCAGAAGGGTTGCCGAGGGTCCCATCCTGCGCCCCAGGGAAGGAAGGCCGGTGGCCGGAGGGCTCCGTGCCCTCCCCGGGCTGGGCCGGGTCCCTCTTGGGGTGTCGGGGTGCACCCTTGGGTTCTGTCCCGGCCGGCGAAGCTCTGCCCAGCAACAAGGGCCGCTAATAGCATATGGGGAAGTCACGTGGGCCTCTTCCAGGAACTGAGGCGTCCGGTGCGGCCCATCCCCCTCCCAGGCACACCGGGGGGGTGCCACCGTGTCCCCCGCCTTCCCCGGCTCACCAGCTGGGCCCTGGGCCTCCCTCCTCCTCCTCCTTGGTTGCACACGTCGGTGCCCCCCCGGCATGGGCATTATGAGGGGTGTAGGGGGGGTGTATGGAGGTATTATGGGGACGTGAAGTGTTTGAGTGTGGCGTACAGGGGTGTTTGGGGGGCTTTAGGGGTAGGGGACATGGGGGGTATGTGTGTAGGTGTGCGTATAGGCAAAGAGGGGTGTATGGGATGTGGGTGTGGCTCTGCAGTTATGGG